AACAGAAACATTCATGTATAAAATAATAATTGAACAGAAACATTCATGTATAAAATAATAATTAAACATTATTTATCTGAGGAGCAGCTTTGAGTTTAACTCCATCACTGAACTCTCATCTTGAACAAGCATGAAGGCGACAGTGGAAAGAAAAACTCCCTCATGAGGAAGAAACCTTTAGCAGAACCAGGATCAGGACAAGAGGACCATCTGCTTCCACTGGCTGGGTTTGGTAGGAATAGATACACAATGGCAGGTCCAGAATCACGTTAAGATAGAAATGGTATCAAATGAAAACTATTCAATTTTAACAATTCATTTAAGGAGATGAGGTCAGTTTGTCCTCTAGTAGTCTAAGTCTATAGCAGCATAACAAGCCGACCCTACCTATAGGATTTATCAGAAAGGAAAGTCTTAAGCCCAGTCAGTTTTTGTTTAGTTGATCTTGTATTTTTCTGTTTTTTACATCCTATATGAAAGATTCTACAATTGAAAGAGAGGATGCAAACTTTCTAGAGCAACTGTATTTTCATTATTCCTGCTGATTTGTATTAATCCAAATGTTGATCCACTGTTTCCTCCACAAGAAGGTCAGAGTTGTGTCTGATCATGTGCCGGGTCATTGCTCTGTTCTAACAGAACTGTTTACATAATTCTGTTTTCTAAGCACTGGTCATTCAACCTGTATCACCTCTACCAGTTCATGCTTCCATCCAGTCTGGAGACGGTGCTGTAGTCTTCTGTCTGTGGCACCGCTGTGTCTCTGACACAAGTGCAGAGATGACCGGGGGGGTATGGGGCTTAAGCCAGAGACAGACCCAGTGAAATCAATAAAAACTGTCAATGCATGTCTGAGTCACATTATCCTCCTAAAGCAAAGTCCAGATTTCAGAGGAAACTAATGCCCTTCCAAACTTTTGCATTAAAGGCTGTGAATTGGACCGGGCTGCACAGTGGTGTGTCTTTTCGTACGATTCCCAGCTTAGGCCGTCTGTGTCTACTCTGGGTCTCCTCTCCTGTGCATGCAAGCTGAACTTCAGGCAGTATCTCTCTGGGCTGCAGCTGTAAGAGACCATTAGCCCAACAGTGTCTTAAAATATCTCTAAACTTTCTGTTTGGCCATTCAGTGTTCTTATATGAGCCGTGTTATTGCTTCACTCTCAAACTTGTTCAAAATCTTTGACAAATTTAGTGACGCAGGCATTGCCTCATTTTAGTTTCCATAATTCTGGAGCAGGGGTGTCCAGTCCTGGCCCTCCAGGGCATGCATACTGCAGGTTGGCTCACCTGATTTAAACAGACCTGCTGATGAGCAGGGGAACAGCTAAAACATGCAGGACAATGGTCCTAGAGACAGAACATGCAGGACAGTGGTCCTAGAGACAGAACATGCAGGACAGTGGTCCTGGAGACAGAACATGCAGGACACTGGACCTGGAGACGGAACATGCAGGACAGTGGTCCTGGAGACGGAACATGACAGAACATGGAGGACAGTGGTCCTGAAGACAGAACATGGAGGACAGTGGTCCTGCATGTTTTGAGCTGTTCCCCTGCTCATCAGCAGGTCTGTTGAAATCAGGTGAGCCAACCTGCAGTATGCATGCCCTGGAGGGCCAGGACTGGACACCCCTGCTCCAGAATTATGGAAACTAAAATGAGGCTATGCCTGCATCACTAAATTTGTCAAAGATTTTGAACAAGTTTGAGAGTGAAGCAATAGTAATAGCAATCAGTGACAATCTGAGCAGTCTCAAGAGCAGAGGGAAGTTTAGGTAGAGGAATGAAATGAGCAGACTTGGAAAAACGGTCGACAATGGTGCAGAAAACTGTGTTACCATCAGAGACGGGGAGACAAGTGACAAAGTCCAAGGCGATGTGTGACCAGGGATGGATGGGGATGGGAAGTGGTAGCAGGAGGCCAGCAGGAGGCTGGTTGCTGTGCTTGTTCCGAGCACAAGTGGGACAGGCTGAAATTAAATCCTTAACATCTTTAATAAGGTTAGGCCACCAAAAGGATGCTTTAACAAGTTGCAGCATGCGTCTAACACCAGGGTGGCAGGAAAACCTAGCCATATGGATCCACTCCAACACCTTACCCACCATGGCCGTAGGAACAAACATCTTTCCCGGAGGGTCCGGACACCCCTGAGAACATCTAAACAGCTAAAACATGCAGGACAGTGGTCCTGGAGACAGAAAATGCAGGACAGTGGTCCTGGAGAAAGGACATGCAAGACAGTGGTCCTGGAGACAGGACATGCAAGACAGTGGTCCTGGAGACAGGACATGCAGGACACTGGTCCTGGAGACAGGGCATGCAGGACACTGGTCCTGGAGACAGAACATGCAGGACAGTGGTCCTGGAGATGGAACATGACAGAACATGGAGGACAGTGGTCCTGAAGACAGAACATGGAGGACAGTGGTCCTGAAGACAGAACATGGAGGACAGTGTTCCTGAAAACAGAACATGGAGGACAGTGGTCCTGAAGACAGAACATGCAGGACAGTGTTCCTGAAAACAGAACATGGAGGACAGTGGTCCTGAAGACAGAACATGGAGGACAGTGGTCCTGGAGACAGAACATGCAGGACAGTGGTCCTGGAGACGGAACATGACAGAACATGGAAGACAGTGGTCCTGAAGACAGAACATGGAGGACAGTGGTCCTGTAGACAGAACATGCAGGACAGTGTTCCTGAAAACAGAACATGGAGGAC